TTGGCCAGCTCAGTGATTTCACAAAAAGGGAAGTTTATTTTCACAACTAACCTAGATCATGAATAATTAGGTGTTGGGGGGGGGGGGAGGAACTCAACCCTATAACAGAGTCAAACTGAAGAACAACATATCCCTCTTTCAGGGTAGAGGGTGATCTAAAATCATACTGTAAGGTCCTGAGTCAGAGAAGCAAAAAGCATACCCAGAGATGAATGCAACTGATAACCATATAGCCCATGTATCGGGTACCCCCGGCCTGATATCCAGATAATAGGCCGACCAATACTCCTTTTCTTGTAGAGCTTGACCCAGTGCATCACTTCCCGATAAAGCTGTCAAACACCATTGTGTTAGTCAAATTATACAACATTCATTTTTACCTATACTGGTATATGCTAATGTACTGTCAATGTTGATTTTTAGGTTTCTTGGCTATTTATTTGCTAAATATTGTAACAATTATTACTTCATGAATGTAAGCTTATGTAAGGGTCAGTTGTTTTCCAATTCCCAGATACAATATTACTTCATATATGAATGAAACTTTTCATTTATTGGTTATGTTGTATTTTAGGACTTGACGGCCATAACCCATAGACTGGACACAATTGACAAAAAACTAGATAATCTGATTACTATGGCGCGTTTTTCTTATCAAAATTCAACTATTCTGCTCGTTTTGAAGGTTTGACATTCGTTTTATTTAAGATCAAAATTCAACATTTCTTTTTCAAGTTTGACGTTCATTTTATTCAACTGACCATTCGTTTTTCAGTTTTGACATTCGTTAGAATGTACTTACTATGCTGACGGAGCATTTCTATTAGTGTGCTGTGTTAAACACAGTCACGAGCTTTGTCAATGCTGCAAATGCTTTAGTTGTCTAATTTTGTGTCTTCCATGAACGTGTTGAGCCTTTTTTAATTGGTGTTTTCATTATAGTGTAAACTTGTGATTATAAGTGTATAACAGTGGCTTTTGAAGATGAAATTATAACCAACTGATTTGTTTTCTTATAATAGCACAACAGCAAAAAGAGTGGCTTTTTCAAAGACAAAACTCTTTTCCTTTTATCATTTTTGAAGGCAACCTTGATTCACCTGAACAAATACGTTTAGCAGCTGACAAGCAGTTTTTATGCTCGTTCACTNTCATATATGAATGAAACTTTTCATTTATTGGTTATGTTGTATTTTAGGACTTGACGGCCATAACCCATAGACTGGACACAATTGACAAAAAACTAGATAATCTGATTACTATGGCGCGTTTTTCTTATCAAAATTCAACTATTCTGCTCGTTTTGAAGGTTTGACATTCGTTTTATTTAAGATCAAAATTCAACATTTCTTTTTCAAGTTTGACGTTCATTTTATTCAACTGACCATTCGTTTTTCAGTTTTGACATTCGTTAGAATGTACTTACTATGCTGACGGAGCATTTCTATTAGTGTGCTGTGTTAAACACAGTCACGAGCTTTGTCAATGCTGCAAATGCTTTAGTTGTCTAATTTTGTGTCTTCCATGAACGTGTTGAGCCTTTTTTAATTGGTGTTTTCATTATAGTGTAAACTTGTGATTATAAGTGTATAACAGTGGCTTTTGAAGATGAAATTATAACCAACTGATTTGTTTTCTTATAATAGCACAACAGCAAAAAGAGTGGCTTTTTCAAAGACAAAACTCTTTTCCTTTTATCATTTTTGAAGGCAACCTTGATTCACCTGAACAAATACGTTTAGCAGCTGACAAGCAGTTTTTATGCTCGTTCACTGGCAGCCTTGTGGAGGCAGCATGTGGATTGCTCGCCAGTTATGTGTTTATGTTCAATTATCCTGTCGGCTGGAAAAATTTATTTTCATACTAAAAAAAGTGCATTCTGCACAGTAATGATGCACAGATGCTTTCGGGCTCTGTCATCAGTTTAGTGAACGAACTTGATAGCCTATCAAAGTGTAATTAACCATGATATCATACAGTGAAAGCATTACAATACCTTGGCTAGGGTGGAACTAATTTCAAGTCAACCGAGAAAATGAATAACTTGATTTTTCTACATTGTAATGCAGCAGACAGGCCAGTATATTCAAAACTAGATCTACTGCAATGAAGATTAAAACGAAACTTTTTGCTGACATTGTTTTGCTAGATTCTTGAGAGGAACATTGTGTTGGATACGAACTCAACTTGTGAATTTGCTTGAAATAAGAACTGCAGCAGATTCCGAGGCAGATAGAGGAAAAAAATTTTATTTGTTGGTTAATTGTTATTATTGCACTTTCCTTGGTCATGAAGGTGTCCCCTGAATAGAGGTTCCACTGCATAATATGACATCTTTGAATATTTCCTTTTTTAGTTTTGTGTTTATAACAATAGACAAAGCTTTGCTTATATTTACCTCTTCACCAATGACCTTTTTTTCTAATTCCAGGGGATATTCCATACATTCACTCAAGGCCAGCTCTCCATGATGACCACAGCCACTGATTTAAATTGCTTTTCAAAAAGTATACTTGTATTAACCTCCATGTGATGGCCATTTCAAAGCAAATGACTCAGTTTGGGCATCGAGTAAGAGAGAGCTGACTGTCATGATTTTATGATTATGAAACAAATCAGCTTTGACATTGCCTGTAATCACAGCCTTATCTGGCTGGCCTCAGTTGTTCACGAAGTGGACAACACTATCCACTGCCGGATTTTGCTGCAATTGATTTCCCTAACATTATCCTGTGGATAGCACAATCCAGCATTTGAACAACTGGGGCCTGGTGGATAGAGCGTGCTTATCCAACATTTGAATAACCAGGACCTGGTGGTAATTATGTGTCTGATAGAGGAATTTACAATTTTGATTGACATGAAATTTCCTCGGTCCTATGGAGTATTCCTTTAATCGCAATGTGGCCAGTAAAAGCCAGTTACACCTTTGCTGTAGTGAAAAACAGCTTCAAATATATCTTACAGATCGAAGTTGAATTCAGGTTAATTGTGATGTAACGTACTTAAGAGGGATTCTCTTTAATTTCCTGTCTCCTAGCCCCAATAAATTATTATGGCTAAGAGAAAAAGGACATTGAAATTAACTTAGGATAAATCAAAACTAGCCTGTATTTATACATATACAAGTAATGTTTACCTTTCAACTTATTTATTAATCTGCCTTCTTTTGTTTACAGAGAGAGACAAACAAACACAAAAGCATAGCAGAAGAAGAGAGATGGCCCTTCCTGTCCTGATTTTAAGGAGGTACATCAGGACTCTGCTGAAGAACCCCATTTTGTACTTCAACTTGCAAATTTGAGGGAAACATATCATCCAAGCTGAACACAGCTGCACTAATTGAATAGACTGTTAATGGAACCGGGAACTGACTAGGTTTAATTTCTATCTATCCCAGAGGGTACATTCAATGCAATAATTTCCAGAATATAGGTTGAAATGTTCATTCCATATAGATATTTTATGAAAAGCTTTCCATCCGCCAGGAATATTGGTCATGACTCTTGGATGGACCTCTTTTTCAACCAAGATTTAGGATCACATTCTTAGACATTTTTGTGTCATATGTCACACCTCTGAGATGGCATCATTAATGAAATGTGCATATATGGCGCGTTTTTACGGACAAAATATTGAAAGATCATTAAATCAATGTCATGTGTACATACATCCCTTTTATACTGAATACATCCCTGTTATGTACAATAAAAGATGTTTGATGCAACATTATGCAAGCAAAAGATGTTCGATAAAACTAAAAGAAGTGCGATAAAACTAAAAGAGAAGGAAGCCGACGTGATACCAGTAGATGTTCGCTAACACAAATAGATATTCGTTAGAACTAAAAGACGTGTGATAAAACTAAAAGATGAGGAAGCCAACGCGATACAAGCATAAAAAGATGTTTGATAACACAAAAAACGATATTAGTTAAAACTATAAGATGTGCGATGAAACAAACTGAGATGAGGAAACGGAAATGATTACAACTAAAAGATGAGGAGGCGGAAATGATTTAGCTCTTAACCGGAAATGATATGTCTTCACATGCAGCAGTTTTCCCACGCTGTGCTCCATGTCTTAACATGGCAGATTGCAGATCTGTCCAAGACTTTGTGCAGATCATGTTATAAACTCGGTCACAAATCTTCAGACCAGATCAAATCAACGAGGAAACAATGAAGAAAGCAACAGAGCTGAATTTGAGTCAATCACTGATGAAGTGAATGCACAATTTCAGATCCCAAGACAAGGTAGTCGAGGCTGAAGAACCGCTACACCGACTACTTCTACATTGTGCCAGCTACTTCTTTCAATCTCCAGCAGAACTATACATTCAACAGACCAGAGGGTGTCCTAAAGGGGGAGCAAGAAACTCTGCATCAACTTCAAGAGTCGAACAACCAGACTTCATGTATAAAGATA